GATTCCTAGGCCAGGAGCCCCTAGAAAAATATTTAGATGGAATCCAGGGACCAGGTTGGAACATACTATTAATATTCGTTTTTGTTTTGGTTTTCCTGTAAATTTTTAAATTATGATTTTATCTTACAGGAAGATTTATGAAGAAATTATAGAGTTCCGAATGCATTCTTTCAATGCTCAAACTTGTAAAGGTGACAGTGAAGATTATTTGAAAAGGTTTTTCGATACTCTTATTCCTTTCTGGCCTGATGGATGGATATCCATCGCGTACGTCTACAATTCATGTTTGCTTTAATAAAAATGAATTCATATTTTATTTTCCCATAGCGGCTTCTTAGTATGCTATTTTAATTTGATGTGATTTATCTCATGCTTATATTTCATGTTAAAAATATAATCTTATCCATTCGTTCTTTAGTAGCTTGTGGCGTGCTGCTCTTCCTGTTTATCTACGATGGAAAGAACTCTCTGGGTGAGTTTTGCATTACTTCGAACTATTGTTTTTTTTAAAATTTCTAATTGTATATATTATATTATTTGGTGCATTTTTACTTCTTAGGATTGATTCTTCTAGCCAGACGACCATCAACATCAAAAATGGGTCAGTTATTCCTTCTCTTCCTGATCCTCCCTTATTGCCTCTCAACTCTGTTGCTGCTTCACCCGCCGCTCCTGCTGCTTCATTATGTCCAACCTCAGAGCCTGGTCGTCCTAATTCTGAGTCAATTAATTCGACAGTGACTGACTCTTCGTCTCATTTAAAAGCAAGTGCTCCTGTTTCTATTTCCATCAAAGCCCAAAGTCCTGAGCTTGAGATTACAGCAGTTCATCACGTTTCGCGGTCCCTTAACCTCCTCTCTAATTCAAGACCTCCATCAGTGCACGCGGTTCCAAATAGTAATCGCGCCCCGCTCCCACCAACAACAAACTTGGCTTGCGTTAATCTATTGTTGGATGCTTCCGCTCCTTCAAATGTATCTACATCTACAGCAATTGAAAAAACACAAGCTCTTACGAGGCCTAACATCCGTGTAGCAAGTGGCCCAGTCAAACACCCTTCTGCTTACGAAACTACCCATAACGGATCAATTGGTGGATTTATAAATAAATCCTCTTCTCCCCCGCCTTTAATTTCTAGATCTTCTCAACCATCTAGTCTTAATGTGGTACCGCCTCGGGATCATTCTTCCGCTCCGGCTCCTATTGTCACTGGTGTATCCTTGTCACCGAATATGGCGAGTGCATCACTTCATAAGCCAAGCAAAGGCTATTCTGCCCTCAGTGGCCGGCTAACAGACAAATCTTCAGTGAGCCAGTCACATAAAGAAGGAAATGGCACCCATGTAGAAAATTCAGCGCTCAATCGAGATTCGTATCAAAGCCAGATCAGATATCAGGTGTCACAGCATAGATCGATTTCTGCGAAACCTCCATGTCAGTCCCTGACCGACCTCCAACCCCGTCCAGCCCATCAGCAGCCATCTGCCAATCCTGTAACTCACATGCGGCACTCAGAGCCCCTCTCGGCTTGTCTGAGTAAGCTTTGGCATGCTTATTTTCGATAAATCTAACTTAGTGTCTATTTCCTTACCAAGCTCATCATGTATTCCACTAATTTTCAATCTGCTAATTTTATAGAATGGTCAGAAGTCCATGATCATCCTGTTGAATATCGTTTGACTTAATATGAAAGCCTTACTCTGCTACTTGGTTTTTCATACTAATTTTAAGGGAAATTCATTATTGAATACGAAAGGCTAGTAATAAATTATGCCTGAATACCCTGT